ACCCGCCTGCCCCTTGGTCTCCTCCGCGCTGGGACTGCCTGCAGGAGCGCAGCGGGGCCGCCACTTGTCCTCAAGCAGGGAGGAGCTGCCCTCCTTTCCCTTCCATCGCCGTGCTCGCCTCAAGCGCTGACCACGGGCAGGGGGGCAACTTGGGGCCACTCTCCGGGTGTTCGGGCTCCGTTCCTGCAGCAGGCGGACAGTTTTCTCTTCAACGATCCGCCCGGCAGCTCCTCCAGCCCCTGCCCTGGGCTGCTCTGGAGGACACACGGAGCTGCAGCAGGTTTTCCCGGGCACGGGGGGCTGCGGGAGGAAGCCCATGGCGCACGCACGCCCTGGGGCGGCTGCTAAGGCCTGGCACATTCCCGCTCCCGGCCACATCACATTCCCGCGGGAGCCCCGGCGCGGTGCGGACTGGATCCCGAACCCCCTGCGATGGCACCGTGATTCTTGGTCTCCCCCCAGTGACCAGACCACATATAACAAAGAGTTTGCATTAGCTCCTGTGCCCGAGGCTCCCAGACAGAGGATTACAGCTCATTGCCCTCAGAATAGGCATATCGTTACCAGGTAATTACACTAATAATTATTTCCCCGAATCTTCTCCGGGAGCAAAGCTCTCTCCCTGGTGCCTTTGCTTGTTTTTGAGTATTTGGAAGCAGGAATCTATTTCCCCACATGCACAAGCTCTGAATATGTATATATTCATTCATTAAAGCACACCGATGCTACTGAGGCAAATGACCTGTCAACAGATTTACAGCAGGAAGTAAGTCACTGCCTCCGAGCCTGCGCTTTTAATGTAATTAAAGTCCTCTGTTTGGAATTCGTGCCTAATTAATATTCATGTTCTGCTGCCCATCTGCCATTCCTGCACTGCTGGTTCCTTCTGAGATTGATCAGAGGATTATTAAGGCAGCAAACAGGCATGGAAAGAGGCGGGTTGACTTGTGGGAGAAATAGTTGTATCAGCTTTTGGTAGAGGGGTAAACTTGGATCCAACCTCCTGACTGGTCTGGAAGAGGCTGCCCTAAGTAGCGGCCAGTCTTGCTCTGTCACTAAGTGAAAATCAAAGGGGCTGATGACAGTGATGGATGGAGCAAGGCCTGCCAGAGAGACAGTCTCTGTCGGTCTGTTCCTGGAATCCCTCGGGCTTCTCCTGCTCTCGGAAGAGGGCGAGAAGCTGCGATCTCTGGAGCCTGGCTGAGGAGGACCAGCTAGCAGGTGGTGGTGCTGACGAAGCCTCGTTGCGATGAAGCCACGTCGCTATCTCTCGGGGCTTGGCCCAGAGGTGAACACCAGCCCCGCAATGCGGGTATTTGGGGGTGCAGGTTCATATGGATTTTACGATGACACTGCACGGCTGAGCATACACATGATCCCATAGCCCATCTCTAGATGTTCCCATGCTCAGCAGAGATACTGGAGTTGCTGTCAGGCTGTTGGATGGGACTTGGCCCTTTTTGCTCTCCTGGGCACCTCTTGTTCTCCAGGAAAGGTAGGATGGGAAATGTAGCATTTCAGGACTGAGATACCCAAGGGCTGCCAAAAGGATTCAGACTCTGCTGAGCCCCAAAGATCGAACAACATTGGCCCTGCTGCGGCCCCACGGCGCAGTGTGACCGGAGTTCCCTCAATTAATGAAGGACATTTCAAATGGCTTCTAGATCCTTAAACACAATTGTAGGGCTTAAATTGGATGCACCCAGGTTTGAAAACTGAGTCCCACTGGCATCTCCTGTTTATATATGAACAATCAAAGTGATCTGTTTATCTGTCTAAAGCACGGTTGCTCTTTGACCGTCCATCCATTATGCTTATCTATCTGTCCTAGTTATGAGCTGAGCAATCCATCTTTCCCAACCTAATGTATTCCAAATGACTCTGTAATGCCCTGCGTTGCGAGCGGGCTCTGCTGCGGTGGACGACGCGGGCCTGGTTTTCTGCAGCACTAACACAATTGCATTGACGTCAACCGGAGCTGCCCGTGATCGCCCTCCTAGAAAATTAGGCCTACTACGACAGATCCGAGTCAGAGCTCGCAGCGATCTGCTGCTGTAATTGGGACCAGATTCGCCAAGGAGCTCACAAGACAGTGTGATGAACGCCTCAGAGAAACCTCTCCGCGCGGACCCTGCGCCTGAGCGAGCGATACAGGGAGCGCACGTACGGGCCTGTGCACAGGGCGCCACACGGGCCCGTTTAACCTGGGCTTCTTGTTTCTCCTAATTAAATTGCAAAAGCGGCCGAGCGGTGCAGTCCCGGAGCAGCGTGTTCTCATTCATTATGGAGAGAACACACTGCTCCTGTGTCACACCAGCACACGCCAGAGGCGGCCGGCTGGCAATGTGCGCCGGGCTCTGCTCTGCCCCTCACAAGGGAAATGGGAGCGGCACAAGTGGCTG